TAAATAAGGGAACTGACTGTTAGAGTAATCAGAAAATATAATGTTCTAATTCTTGCTTTGCATAACTAACAGGCAATTAACTTTCATTGACTCATGATGTGAAAAGTGATCGAGAGATGTAGATCCTTTGCTTTGGTAACAATCTGTCAGTTGGGAAGAATGTTTTTCTTGACAGTTGATTAGGGGTTAAATGAGGTGAATAAAATTGGTAATTTTTGCTGCTTTCCCCATTTAGTGTAACAGCTATTATATGAAGCATTTTTCCTTACATTAGTTGTAACGACTGGCTTTAACTCATTAGCCCCATTGGAGGAACTGGTTTTGACTGACAAAGACATTATTTTGGTATTCTCAACATCTGAAAAAATGGCTGATCCATAAAGAACCTGGATCAAAGTATTGTTTTTTATTAGGGCTGGAGCACCTTTCCTATGAAGACAAGCTGAGAGAGTTAGGGATGTTCATCCTGGAGAAGAGAAGGCAAGGCTCTGGAGAGACCTCATAGCAGCCTTCCAGTACCTGAAGGGGCTACAGGAAAGCTGGGGAGGGACTTTTTACAAGGGCTTGTAGTGAGAGGACAAGGGGTAATGGATTAAAACTGGAAGAAGAGAGATACAGGTTAGACATTAGGAAGAAATTCTTTAGTGTAATGGTGGTGAGACATTGAAACAGGTTGCCAAGGGAAGTTCTGGCTGCCCCCTCCCTGGACGTGTCCAAGGCCAGCTTGGATGGGGCTCTGAGGCAGTGTAGGCCCAGTGCTGAATGGGGTGGGTGCCCTGGTGACAGAGGATATGAAGAAGGCAGAGGTACTGAATGCCTTCTTTGTCTCTGTCTTTACTGCTGCAGAATCTCCCCAGGAGCCCCAGATTCCAAAAGCCCCAGAAGGAGTCAGGATAAAGAAGGAGTTTGCTTTGGTAGATGAGGATTGGGTTAGGGATCAGTTAAGCAAACTGGACATCCATAAATCCATGGGTCCAGATGGAATGCACCTGTGGGTGCTGAGGGAGCTGGCAGAGGTCATTGCTAGGCCACTCTCCATCACCTTTGGTAAGTCATGGGTAACAGGAGAGGTGCCTGAGGACTGGAGGATAGCAAATGTCACTCCGGTCTACAAGAAGGTCAAGAAGGAGGACCCGGGTAACGATAGACTGGTCAGCCTCACCTCCATCCCTGGAAAGGTGATGGAACAACTTATTCTTGGCACTATCTCTAGGCATATCAAGGATGAGGGTGTCATTAAGAGCAGTCAACATGGTTTTACCACGGGAAAGTCACGGTTGACCAACCTTATAGCCTTCAATGAGGAAGTAACTAGGTGAACAGATGATGGTAGGGTGGTAGATGTGGTTTATCTTGATTTCAGTAAAGCATTTGACACCGTCTCCCACAGCATCCTCGTAGATAAACTGAGCAAGTGTGGTCTAGATGATCAGGTAGTGAGGTGGATCATGAACTGGTTGAAAGGAAGAAGTCAGAGAGTTGTGGTCAATGGGACAAAATCTAGTCGGAGGTCTGTGACTAGTGGAGTCCCTCAGGGGTCAGTGCTGGGACCGGTACTGTTCAATATTTTCATCAATAACCAGGATGAGGGAACGGAGGGTCCCCTCAGCAAGTTTTCTGATGACACTAAACTGGGAGCAGTGGCTGACACACCAGAAGGCTGTGCTGCCATTCAGTGAGACCTGGACAGGCTGGAGAGTTGGGCGGGGAGAAACTTGATGAAATTCAACAAGGGCAAGTGTAAAGTCTTGCATCTGGGGAAGAACAACCCCAAGTACCAGTACAGGTTGGGGGCTGACCTGCTGGAGAGCAGTGTAGGGGAAAGGGACCCGGGGGCCCTGGTGGACAGGAAGATGATCATGAGCCAATAATGTGCCCTTGTGGCTAAGAAGGCCAATGGCATCCTGGGGTGCATTAGAAAGGGTGTGGTTAGTAGGTCAAGGGGGGTTCTCCTCCCCCTTTATTCTGCCTTGGTGAGGCCACATCTGGAATATTGTGTCCGGTTCGGGGCCCCTCAGTTCAAGAACGGAACTGCTTGAAAGAGTCCAGTGCAGAGCCACAAAGATGATGGAGTGGAACATCTCCCTTCTGAGGAAAGGCTGAGGGAGCTGGGTCTCTTGAGCTTGGAGGAGACAGAAGGGCGACCTCATCAGAGTATGTTAAAGGTGTCAGGAGGATGGAGCCAGGCTTTTTTCAGTGGTGTTCAGTGATAGGACAAGGGGCAATGGGTGCAAACTGGAACATAGGAGTTTCCATGTAAATATTAGAAAAAAACTTCTTTACTGTGAGAGTGACAGAGCACTGGAACAGGCTGCCCAGAGAGGCTGTGGAGTCTCCTTTGCTGGAGACATTCAAAACCCACCTGGACAAGTTCCTGTGTGATGTGCTCTGGCAGGGGGGTTGGACTAGGTGATCTTTCGAGGTCCCTTCCAACCCCTAAGATTCTGTGATTCTGTGAAAAGAAGGCACTTTCTCAGCAGTGGGAACAGGGAAAAGTTAACTCTGAAAATCTGTACGATGAGCTCAAGCTCCTTGTAAGGCTTCATGTAAGCAACAGCTGAGGTTAAACTGGTGCAGATCAGTAATTTCCTCAGTGTGGTTCCTGAAAGGAGTGGGCATATTTTTTTCAGATTTGGGAAAAAGCAGAGTAATGGGTATTGCTGGTTACATAAAACAAATACAACTACAGGTTTAAGGGTTTCTTTTGTTGGATTTTTTTTTTCTGTTTTTTTTGGAGCTGTTTCTCCTAATAGTCTCAAGAACTTAAAATTGTTTCATAGCACAATGTTTTAAAATTATTTTTCATTTGTGGATTCACTTCCTCCCGCACCATCTCCCCCAGCCCCCACCTCCCTACAGTTTAAGCTCTTATTTAATGATCTTTAGTCTACAAGAGACTTGATTTTATGGCCAGCTTAGAAGTAGCTCTAGAATGTAGGTTAAAATATACCAGCTCTCTTCAAATGGAAACTTCAACCACATCTCTAACACAATTAGCTTGAAGAATACTGATGTGTAGGTAACTACTTTGAGTTTTTGTTGTGGTATGTTCACGTTTTGATAGAGAATGGTGGTTTTGGAGGTAACTTATCAGGCTCCTTGGGAAAACAGGGTAATAGTGATTAATCTGCAGTAGAGGTGGAGAATTCATCCCCTGGAGCACGGCAGGCTGTGACTTTCTTAGAGCAGACCACACTGATGAAAGTGACTTTTCACAGCTCCTCAAAAACTGTTGTGTTATTAAACTTGCAACACTTTGAAGTTTATGATTGTGCTGAAGTCCTGAAGTGAAACATCTTTTCAAAATTTTTGATTAAAAGAGAAACACTAGAACATCAACAGGAAATAAAACATTTTTATTGAATATCTGTGTAATATGTATGTTAGTTTAACGACAATTGGAAAACTCTACTGTGGGAAGTCACTACACAAAGTGAAACAAAATATAAACCACCTCATCAAAAATGAAGGTAAAATACGGCTAAAGTTGTCAGCTCGCGGGCCACGAGCGATATGGCAGGATAAAACACCCCAAACATTTCTACAAGATACAGAGAAAACCCACACAGAGAAACACTCAAGCAGGCAGTAAATATACACAAAGGCAACTAGGATCTTTCTACAGCATCAGATTCTAATACTTCACACAGCTTTGTCAGAAAGGTACATGTGGCTTCTTTGAGGATGAAAATGTCATCTTGGTCACATGGCAGGTTCAGTCTCTGAGAATCATTGTACCTCACAGACCAGTTCTACGATGACGTTCAGTCTGGCAGTGTAAGCAGGGAAAGCATTAAGAAAACCTTAACACAATGAGTCAGTCCTGGCAGTTTGAACCTGCAGCTATCCTGAATGAACAACTGAAAGTTGGAGACCATGAAGCTCTTATGCTGGAAAGCTGACTGTCTACTTCTTCTCTTTGGTGGGGTTTGGTCCTTAAGATTTTAAAGTATTCCAGCTTGATGCTTTGCATGTATGCGCCTGTTTCTATCTGAAAATGTCTCACTTGTGTTTTTTCCATGTTTCATGTAAAAAAGACAGAAAATGGGTCTTGCTACTCTCACTTCTGGAGGTGAGAAGAGATCAAGACTTTTGTTCTCCTCCCACTTCTTTGCTGCTTCTTTTAACTACAATGTACTGAAAACATTGGTGCTTGGCCATCACTGTCCTGGCCCCGCAGGCTGTCTCACCTCTCCCAGAAGCAAAGCCTCGAGGGAGGCTGTGGAATTTAGTTTTCAGTACACAGGTCTTTGATTACATTCATCTTTGTTCTTTGTTTTCCATAATTTATGTTAGATACAATTGGTAAGAACATTAATTCTCATGCCTCCCTCCAAAAGGTATAGCATTTCCTCATTTCTGGGGTAGGTTGCAATGCTGAAAATAACAAACTCTTAAAAGCATTATAAATATATTCACAGCTTGGAAAGATAAGCAAGGGGCCTCAAAGGACGGAATGTGAGATGGAAGTGGTGCCCTAAATGACTTGATGAGATGGTACAAGCTGAGATGACACGCTGGCTAGCCGTAAGATGACTATCTACAGAAAAGCAGCAGAGGGTGAGGGAGGTTGGAAATGTAGAATATTGCACAGGGCTTGACAAAATGCTGCGTGGTCAACCCATTCGATATAGCATCCTTGTCCCCTGCATAGCTCTCCAGTTCTAAATTGGTCCGTAATAACTAGAACTGCTTGTGCTATGCATTCCTTCGGCAGTGCAGTAGAAGGGAATGGCAGTATTATTACAATATCACTACGGAATAAATTGATTGCTATCCACTGAGAAAACTACATTTCTAAGCACACACGGCAGTCACAGTGATACACAGAGCAGTCTTTCAAGACTCTTATGGAATGACTAATAGCTTCATAATAGTGCCATTTACTACATAATAACATTGAAAACATTTAAAAACTCCTCCTGAAACGAGCATCTAGTATACAGAAGAGGTTGCTTCAGTTTTCTAGAACTTGTTCTTTGTTTTCACTTTTTTTTTTTAAAGGACAAATTAAAACTTAAGTATAAATAGTATATAAAAGGTCACTAGCTGTTCTCTTTTGGCTTACTTTGAAGTGCATTTAGAACTATGGCTAAATTTTGTCATCTTCTGATGGGATTACAATACTGTCTGTTTACCATGAAACTATTTTGTATAATAAACTCACACGGCTGTTTCTAAAAAATATTCTGCATTCCTTCTAATCTGAGTTAGTATAATAAAATATTTTGTTACAAAGTCTAATGTGCAAACTCATTATAATGTGAAATCATGGATGGAATTCACAGTATGCAAATTTTGTATAAAGGTGATAACGGAGAGCTACTCTTGTTTTCAGGGCAGCACTTTGCTGCTGCTGCGTCTCCCCCCTCCCTTCCCCCCCCTCCCTGCACAACCTCTGCAATGGTCCTACTTGGTATGTTAGATGAAATCGATGCCTTCTGTGAAACTGCTTCCTCAACTTTCAATCTAAAGCCATTTCAGTCTGTTATGTGTTTGCTTTGGAATATATACAAAATATTAGATCCTGGCTTCTGGCTACATCTCCTTGAGGTCAGCCATGGAGCTGCTCAGATCATGCTAAGTTGCCTGTGAAAGAAGTCTACTCAATTGGATTTGCCCCTCCAAGATTCACTGTGGACGCGTAGCGTGTTATTAAGATGGTCCAGTTGAAAGCTCAGATTTAAGTTGTCCTTTAAGATGTCAGTGTAACACTACTAGTGCCTTACAAGTTGGAATTTTTTTTCTGGAATGCAGACGATACTATAGTTACCCTATAATATATTATCAGCTCTCCTATATCTCAGTCAATTTACATAATTTAAAATAGAACATCTTATTAAAAACATCTAGATATACACAGATTAGGAAACGCTTACAACATACAAATACACAAACTAGAAATAAATTCTCAGCATACTGGTGTATATATACAACTGTGTGATACAATAAATAATTTCTGTCATGCTCTATCTACACATCATATTGCTTAAAAGAAGAGTAGATCTGGGGGGGCAGTGGTGAAATGAAGCGCCTTTAGAGGGCTCTCTACATTTAGATTTGTGCAAATTAAAATGGGAATTTAAAAATACAACCGATCTGTGTCAGGAACACATGGCTGGAAATGAAAGGACCCATATTACTGAGGTATTTACAGATACTAGCTAAAGAGCACTATGTGGGCAAATGCAGAAAGGCTTCTTCTTCTTCATTGTCTTCCTCTTACTTAAATTTAATTTAATTTAATTTAATTTAATTTAATTTAATTTAATTTACTTCTTGACTGCCAGCATGGCATCTACCTCCTCCTCGGGCTGTAAGGTGTGCCACTGTGCAATGGGCCGCCGAGGGTTGGCCAACATGTCTGACCAGTGCCGCAGCTCCGCGCCGGTGCTGTTGTAGCCCACAAAGACTTTCCCGATGGCATCGTTCTTGCCAATCTTGTCATAGTCCAAAACAGTCACAACAACTTGCACTTTCTACAATGAGATAGAGAAGGATCAGTGAGCATGACAGTAAGGGGAAGGTGGGTAAGGATGCATCTTGGGACACAAAATGACAGTGGAGACTCCATGAAGGGGTGTGTGACAGCCAGAGCAGGTTCCTCCAGCAAGAAGCAAATTCAAACTTCTTGTGAGCCTTCCAAATATAATTTGGTTCACAATCTCCCCATTAACTTGAAATTTGCCTCTTTTCATCAAAGATCTTCATTTGAGAATTGAAGTTTATTTTTTTTTCCCCCCTTTTAAGAGATCAACAACCTATGAATTATTCTTCTGTTGTTACTGAAGAATCAAACTGCTATAAGTCTGTAGGGCTAAAAGTGAGATCACAAGTTGAGCTAAACCAAAATTAGTGCTATTTAACGTGTCATTATTGTTTTAGTAAATGAGTAAAAATGAGGTAAAATTCAGAAATGGATTTAGCCCAAGTTAACAGTTGCAATGTCATACTCTGTTCTGCTAATTGCTTTTCTGCTTTTAAACAACTCTTAGCCATCCAGCCAGCATGCTAATCAGCTATTTTCAGATAAATTCAAAGGACAGCCCTTACAGTTGCTATATACATATATGCACGTGAACCCATCTGTCTGCGTGTGTGTGCATGCTCACACCTAAGTATGTATACACTGTGTATATTAATGAATGTATACTGGAGTCAAGAAACCCCTCTGCATGCTCAGGGGAGCTGGAAAGAAGCATTAACTCCACTGTCTCGGGGCTCTGACACATCGGCTTTGCCTGTGACAGAGCCAGACTTGGAGTGCCACTTCTGCTGTAGGAACAGTGACCTCTGGCAAGCAGGGTGAAACTATTCCCACAAATTCTGCTCCAGCCCATCTGTTACAGTGTGTAGACAATTTTCCAGTCACTTAGACAGGGGCACACTTGGAGGTGATGTTCAAGCCAGGCATTTGCGTATGCATTTGCGTGCACATGTTCACATTCCTCTCCATCAGGTCATTAATATTTGTCAAAAGGGCATAAACAGCTACTCCTTTGGTGGAGTGGTGTTTTTCTCCAACAGCACCTGAGACATTAACAGCCCTGGGCTGATTTTACTAAACTGTAAATGCTGCTCCTTTGGGAGCTTTATGTTTAAAGATGAACATGCAGTTCTTTTCCTGATTCCTTTCTACCCCACGGTAAATACACACAGCTCCTTTTTCCACTGTGAGTTTCCTGAATGGGAAGAAGGAATGCCCTGAAATACATTTCTTCCAGAAAAAATCTATTATTCTCAAGAATCAGGTCTTTAAATTTAAGGCTTTAAATATATCCACAATCTGGATTTCTTGCTAGAATGATTAATTTCTGTGCTTGTAATAGGATCATATTTTAAAAGTAACCGACTCTTTTAAGCATATCTGCAAGACCAGGCTCATGAGGACTATTTTATAGGGCCCATTCTCTGACAAGATTGCACAATTCACCAAGTCAGAGAAAGGGATGATTCCAACAGGCACTAAAGTATTTATATAGTTGCTGATGACAAAAGTGTACAACCAACTCAAGACTCTCTCTCTCCCCAGGGCACTCATGATAAAAGGCAATATCCTGAAGCAACTATTTCTAGATGCCAAAATTATGTTTCAGTGTTGCTGTTTGCAATATACTTGCTTTTAATGTTGATGGTACCTCCCCAAATGAACATTTATGTTTTAGATGTATGGTACAATCACAGATACAAAAAGTAAACATTTGACTATTATTTTACAGTACCAAAAAAATTTGCCTGCTGTACCCAGAAGCTTGGAGGCCAGTTTACTATAGGATGTTTTTTTGTTTTTTTTTGTGTTTATCATCAGCCAACTGTGGGCATGGTAAACAAAAGACTGCTTCCTTGTGCTATGCAGGTGTAAGAACAGCTAGCTCAGGTGATTAACTCTGAGATGATTTTCACCTCATGGTGTTTGACTTAAACCTATCCCTTTACCTTTGTACCATATATTTAAAGGAACAGCTGCACTACAAAACCTAACAGGTGCTAGTAGAAAGCACCACCTCTGCTAGTAAACACTCGGATCAGCAGTCTCCTTGGCATGATTCAACATTAGGACTGAAAGGAGCTGGAGATGTTGCTACCTATGGAGGGGGTCTGTCTTGAAAGTGGGAAAACAAGTTCTTGATCTGCCTGTACCAACAGGATCTGACTTCCCAAGTGGTGTTCTCCCATTACTTTTACAGACACCAGTTTCTTTCCCTTCAGAGTTGGATTCCATATTCACTATTAAGTTGTTGAAACTATTAATGCTTGGCCCATTTTAAATTGCATAGATGTACTCCTATTGTACTGCTTTCCTTCCACCATCTGCCTTGTCTTTGGTCTCCATCCATCATGAAGCTTGTACAACCATTATTTTTTATTTGACTGTGAAAGTTTGCTTTATGACCTTTACATGAATTACCCCAAAGTCACAGTGATTCTTACCATATTAAGTCTAAATAACATTTAAAATGTGTTTTGCTAATGAAGAAATTACTAGCGTAACCATAATGAAGTAAATTCTAAATATACTATTTTATAACTAGTTCCAAAATACATTGGCATATGACCAAAGTCCATAATTACAGATTTTAAATTGAGGCTTGCTGAAGTAAATAGCTATGAAGTCATTTTAATACATTTATTAAAAAGTGCATAATATTAAACTGCTAAACAGCAATACTTTTTAGAGGGCTTATATCTACCTTACAATACTGATTTTGGATTAAAAGGAAAAATGGTCAAGCAAGAATGCACCTAACCAAAGCTCAGATCTGATAACTTGGAGGTGCCCAGTCCAGTTCCTCAGTCCTGTCCCTCCTTGGAAATGAAGACATTTGTAGCCTAAATTGGCAAAAAGGTTGGATTTGATTGATTTTTTTTTTTTTTTTTTTTTTTTCTGCTGGTGGGTCTTTGATGTTTTTTATGAGATATTTTTTTCCCAAGCACACTGACCAGGCTTTCATTAAAATCAATGGGAATTAGACCCCACTGGATTTCCTATGATTTGATTCCTTGAGTCCACAGACACCTGCTGTGAGACATGAAGAAATTCCTAAATGGGCTAGTCGTGTGTCCAAGTCACCATTCCTAGTGCTTCACCTTGCCTAGTTTTATTACCTTTGTTGGTACCAAGTCAATAAAAACCAAGAACACAGCTTTAGTTGGAATGTAGGCCTTGGCTCCTGTGTTTCTCTCCAGTACAGTTGCTATCAATATTCAAAACACAGTCTCAAACCCCATACCATGCTGTCAACTAATCAAGAGATGTCTGTGTCTCCCCATTACTTGGGACTTTTCCCTTGCAATGTCTTCTGGCCCTGAATTTGACCCAAGCTATTCAAGCCATCACAATAGCAAGGCACCTAACTTCTACCTAGACCTTTCTTACAATCCACAAAATGCTGTATTCCCAGACTGGTTTAATTATGGTCATTCAAACTCAGGTAGGTTATCGAGCCTCTGAAAAAAATGTCTTGATGTCTTGTCCTGGTATTTTCCACTGCTAAGGTATGTGACTTCTTGTTCACTGTGCTGACTTCTGAGGCCCCTACTTTTAGGCACTGAACTCTCCAGGAATAGCACTGGGACAACTGCTGGACATCCCCTGAGGTGCCAAGAAAACAGGCAGTGCAATATTGACCCCTGAGATTCTCAAATTTCTTCTTCTAAAGAATATAGGATTCACCACAATTCTTGTCATAATGTGGTGAACAACTGAAAAAAAATAGATGACTGAATTATATGCTTTACTTCAGAAGGATCCTGCAGCACTTTCAACAAAAAGGACTAATTAAATGCATAAGGAACACAAATGTGACTTTTCCCCCTGTCCTTTTTTTTTCCCCCCCTGGAACATTTCTTTGCTATCTCCCTGTGCATTCTTTTTTTTCCGGAATCCATTTTTGCTAATAGAAAATGTCAGTTATCCATTTCTCACTGATGAATTAAAGTTTCATAAGTACTGTGGGTTTCATAATTTCCCTCTTGAAGCAGTCACACTCATCTAACGTAGCACAGGGCTGGCACCTAGGTGCTAATGAAGGCATGCACACGTGATAATTAACAAGATTCCTGTTAAATATTTATAAGGGCTGAGAAATGGAATGCAGAGGGAAGACAAAACACTGTTTGACATTACCTGAATTTGCTCAAATGGTACTTCAAAGCTGAAAGACTCGTTGTAGTAGGGATTCAGAGTGTTCTTTTTAATTGTAGTCTTTTTCTTCTTCAGCCTCTTACCATTTTGCATCAGATGGATCTTCACATAGGGATCTAAGTAATCGAGAGAAGAAGCAGAGCTAAGAAGGGTAGTTCAGTGTGTTGTCTACAGATTTGAATTCCATGCATTTAAAAGTTGATTAAAAAAAAAACAAACCAGCCTTTAGCAAAAAACACCTTATATTTAAAGTCCTAATTGCCACTGTAGAAAAACTCCTGTACAATTGTGAAGTGTTCCTGATGAAAAAAGGTACAAAATATTTATTGCACTATCTCCTTAACATTGCGAAGGAAGGGTAAATTCCCACCTAATTTTTTTCCGTAGCTCATTAACCATCCTGAAAATGTTTTTACTCTAACATTATTTATTTACTGCAAACATTTCTTAGCAACGAGGCTGCAGGGTGGTTTTCCCAAGAGCCATGAGTGCTGCTGAATGCAGGCATGGCAAGCATGGGGCTCAGGTGGCAGGTGCTCTGCAACTGCTCAGCAACTCCTCACATGGCTCTCTGGGGTGCTGCACCACGGTTTCCCCATCCCCTGATCACCCTGGCAGGCTGCGACTGTCCCAGTGCAGCGTCCTTCGGTCTGGCACATGGACAGATTGCATGGCAAGAAGAGACTTTGCTCCTTAAATACCCATCCTCTACTCTACTGCTTACATGCAGCCAGAGTAAGGTACAGGCCACAGTATCAGTATAAATGATGAGCTGGTTTTGCTACTCTCTACGAAATTCCCACTGTTATTTTATACAACTTCCGGTGGCCAATTGACAACTGACTTGGTATCTATTAAAGTATTTCTCATAGAAGCAAAACTCTTATGGACGTTACTGCCAAGAAGTGACATCTCAGTGGTTCTACTTTCAATAGAAATTTTACCCTCTTAAAAGAATATTGCTGTCAGTCTTTATTCTGTTACAAGGGCCATGTCCCCATTTAGAAAAGCAGTTGTTCTTCCATGGTGGTGTTAATTAGCAGTACGTTCACCAAGCTCAGGTATTTTTCTGTTTTGGCCTACCATGAAGCACCATTTGAGGCATCTCAAGCTCATCTTTTTCAACAACCTCTGTGGTACTGTCACCAAAATTTGAGTAGGTATCTCCCTTGGTTTTAGGCAGCTGAACCATGATACAGGTCAAGGCAAGACTTCCCTCTAGCAAGCTCATTGGAGATACACAAAGTGCCAGTGAGCCACAAGTCATCTGTGAAATAAATTAGAAAAGCCTGAATGCAAACTGTCAAATGAAAGGGCTTATCCTTTCCTTGCTAAGAAGGGGATCGGGCTACAGAAGAAGAACAACGAATGAACACTGAAATTAAATGTTATCAGTATGATCAAAGCATGCTTTATGACTCTGCAATGAAATTAATGCTTGGATTATCTGAGACAAGTAATTTCACTCTGCTATTGTCAAAATATGCCTTATTGTGGAAGGTCTAGGACTGTGGGACCATTAAGTTACCAGAGTGACTTGATCACAGGCTATAGCTCTGAAGGAAGCATAATTTTGGTAGCGGACCCTTCAGCCAGCAGACAAGCATATAACAAGATCCAATGGCTGTGAGAAGGAACGAGACGAATTCTAGCTTAGAAATAGGAAGTCCTTTAGCTGTAAGACTACTGAAATAGCTGGAGTAGCTCTTTGGTGTTTGTGCTGAACTCTCTGTTACAGATGATTAAGATTCTTCCTCCCCTCAAAAGACTCAAGCTCAAATAGAAATTAAATCTGGATACGTTTACACTCAAGGCTAGGCAGGGGATTGCAAAGTTTCCTTTTGGCTGCAGAATCTATGAATTAAGGAGCATCCTGTGAAGAGCAGAAATGCTAGCAAAAAGCCAACAGAGCTCTATTTATTTATAGATTTTCTACCTTTATGTTGGTATTAGAGCAAAATTTGACCCTCATGGCCATGGAACAAGACTCAGAAGTAGGTTTCTATGGTTTCTTTTTCATGTTCTGGTCAGCTTCTTATCCTGATCAGTCTGTCTGGGGATTTGAGCTAGGCTCAGTCAAATGCCAGGTGTTTAGTAGGAAAGATCCCAATGGTACCAGATTGCCTTGGCAGTGCAGAACTGTCAGTTGCAGCAGCTTCAAGTGGAGCACAGCAGAGGACATATCGTATGACAAAATATCCTAATTCTTTTTCATCCAAGGGTGTTATGCCAAACCAATTACAAATTGCATACTGCCAGGAAACCATTTTCTTTATTTTCTAGTTTCAGAGGAAAGCATTAAATAACCTTATTCATCACAAAACCACTGCAAATAAGAACAGGGTGTCCAGCTCAAGGAAGTGAATGGACCATTAGAGATTTTAACTGAGTTTCTCTTCATTAGATTGTACAACCATTTCCTATTTCTCAAAGTACCCTGGTCTTACCTAGTTCTCTCCTCTCTTCATTCTTCTGTGTCTCATATATGTATGTACATATCTCCCCCCCTCTTCATCTCTTCTGTGTCTCCATCACTGCTTTATCTTCATTTATACTCTCCCATACACCATGAGATTATCTCCCTCAACTCTCTGGTAATCTATTTGCTTGCAATCTACACAGACAACCTGATACCTAAGCACAGACTTTTTTGAGACTTCATGAATAAATCTCTGAAAAAGACAGATAGTGTTCTACCATAAAAAAAAGCTAAACTGCTTGGAGTCAATTACTAGAAAAAAGGAGGATAATCAAAAGAAAGCAGAACCTCTGGGAAGTGCCAGTCTCCAGTGATTTTTCTGAGATAAGGTTTAGTGCTAATGGAAACATCTCTCTACTTGCAACATACTCACAGTGCTGGCACCATTACTCATGCTGAGTAATACTTTAATATGTAAATAGTCTCAGTGAATAAGTGAGACTAGTAAGGATGACCTAACTTATATTAGAGCCCAGCAATGATAAATTGCCTGCTAAGTGAATAGCCTGGGCATAAAGGGCAGAACTGTTTTGACCAAGTAAAAATGTCTATGTCTGATGCCATTGAAAACAAATAAGCATTTATCTTTATGTACTCTGGATAGTTATCTCGTTCCAAAGTAAATATCTGTCTTTGGTCAAATAAATTGCAACCCAAAATATTTATTTCTCTGTACTGATACAAGACAGCCTATTTGCTTTCATGTAAACAGCTAGAAGAAATTTCAGGTTAGAAGAGGTGAATATCACTCTGTTTTTCCCTCCAGTTTTATTCTAGAAAACAGGGATTTAGGTTCACACTACATCCACAGGTACTGGTGGGGGACCTTGCCTGTCTATGTGGAAGAAGGGATGTTGCATCCAGGGCACTATGGACATCCCTCTGCCAAAGCGGAGAGAATGGCTGGTGTCCCTTGCTTAATAATCCATGTTAAGCAATGTGTGGGATTAAATAGAATTCTTCTATTTACTCCCTCATTAACGGTCAAACCATGAATGTTAAAAAAGATGTAAAATTCATACCTAATTGTGCATTATAGATTTTACAGCGTCTCAAGAGAGGCTAGCTGAACAGCTTTAAAAGCACTGGGGGACTAGCTGACACATTTTCCTCAAGTTTACAGTAAGATGTCAATATACTATTTAAATGATAACTGAAATGGTATGTAACAACAGATAAAGACTTCTGGAGTCATTTGGACTATGAGGCATATAGATACAATTAGAATCCTCTTAAAATAATGACTGAGTTCATAATCATCATGTTGTAGACAAGATGTACTTCATTATTAGAGGTTTTAAAAAAGCAAATTTACAGCTGAAAGAAAATACTTCAACTCAAAAGAAGAAAATAATGGCTAATGACGGTAATGGAGAAAAAAGTGGAACATGGGAATGACTTTGTCAGTGGCTTTTAAGACAAAAAATTTGCTACAGGGATCTGTAGTAAATGAAAAATCATTCTCCACCTAGGTAGGAGAGAATTCAGCACACAAATTTTCAACTGTATGGATCTCCAGCAGGAAAGTGTCAACACAGTACTCAGCCTGGGATGGTTTTATAAGAATGATTTAATCTGAACGCAAACATAAGGATGGTCCCGATATTTGATAAATATTTGTAAGGCTTCTGTAATCTAATGAAAATATGAAAAGCAAGTGCCTAGAAGATTGACAAATTTTAAAAATGCCCCAGGGATATCACTGGACTTGATTGGGAGTGCAATTACAGTCCCAAGCCTGCATTCAGGGGGAGCCTAACAGTTTAAACAAAAAAATCCCCCACAGCTCTGCGTGGTGGGATCAGAGAAAACCCTCCACACGACTTGAGTAAGCCTAACATGATGAATAAGAAAACAACTGAGCCAGAACAAACTACTCAGAGACACAGTTGAATAAAGTTTCATATGACAAAACACTGCAATAAGATGATGTTCTCAACTCAAATGCAGAAACCCAGAAGAAATATGGTGTCAGTATTGCTTCCAGCTGTATTTTTGTCTTCAAAATTTCAGGATAACAGGGTGCTAATTAGCTCATGCTTTTTCTCATCAAAAGAAAATTTATGCCAAACCTATGCCAAAGCACACATCACTGACTTTTAGAGCAAAGTGTTAGCAGGCAGCAAATTTCTATTCTAGGAAGCAGAACAAATTCCTGAAGAGTGCAACAACTGATCCAATAACTGAAGAAAATCAAGTTTGGAAATGCAGACTTAAAAGTGGTTCTGAAAACAGGGTTAGGACAGAGGTGACTTGCTGGGACGATCATTTAGTTCCATGCTAAAGATTCATGCTGGAGATTATAGACTCACTCTCATCCTGCAACACCGCAATGGGGAGGAAAGACGAGAAAAGACCAAGTCAGAATCTTGGATGGGAGCAGAAGCAGTGCTAGATTCAATATTGCACCTTTAGCCTCTGTATTTTGTCAATCCACCCTTCAGACTAATTTTTTTTTTGGCTTTCAGGAGTGGCAGTAGGAAGAACAGCAATTTTATAGAGCAAACAGCTTTCTACAGAGACTATGCCAGGGATGAAGCATCAGCAGTACCTGCATGCTTGCTTCTGCCTTCTGAGAATGACAGCAGCAGCTGTCACAGCTGCACTGTGGAAAGCAGCAGGGCTCTGAGAGCAAAC